CACGCCTGGGAATTGATGACGCGTTAAGTACTGTCATTCGAACTGCTTAATCGAAGGTATATCACCGCGGAGAGATGATTAGCTGGATTCAACAACAGGTAGTCAGTCGGTGTGTCACAACGTGCATATTTCACATTCACTGTTCACCGTACAAACGCAGCTGAAATATATACCATGTCTTCGTCAGGAGTTCGTAGTCTCTTTAACGATGTGGATCACTATAGCGACTGTAGACGCTCATTTCTACCACGTACGAAGTGGTACACGGAACGGATGCCCCGTTGGTGTCGTGATGTTTTCCCCACTGTCGTAAAAGATATCACCTTGGGAACCGGGAAAGCAAAAAATGAAAGCCACCGCGCTCTTCGCGTTCTTGGTATCGGGAGCGGTTCTGGAGAAGTTGATCAAATGATGTTACATCGACTTCAGAGTATGTTTTCCGCAATTGAATGTACCGTGGTGGAGCCATCCTCTCGGGCAATACGATCATATCGAGATTCCATTGAAGAAGGTGCGACTCGGTTGAAACCTACCTCATTTGATTGGCACGAAAAAACATTCGCCGAATTTGTCAATAACCTAAAGTGCTGTCCTGATCAACAATATTCCAGATTTCATTTCATCCAAGTCGTCGAAACTATATACTATTTGTCATATAATGGCGCAATTCACGAGATGTACAATCTTCTCGCACCTGGCGGGATATTATTGATCATAGTGACCGCCGAAGACTGCGGCTATCACAATCTCTGGAAGCAACATAAAGACATTCTTCAAGATGATCGGATGAACTTCGTCACTTCGGCCGATGTCAAAGAAGAGCTCAGCGAAGAGCATCCATTTACGAGCATCCGCGATGAGTCGCGAGTAGACATTTCAGAAGTTTTCGTCGATGATTCGGAAGTCGGCGATCACATCTTGGACTTTTTAACTCATATATGTCATTTTCGGCGATCGGTAGACGAGCAAATTCGTGAAGATTTGATTAATTTATTGAAAAGCGAGAAATGCAGTGACAAAGTTGATGGTAGGGTTATGTTCAATAACAGCTTTGATGCAATTATTGTCTATAAGCATGAATGACGTTCACCGAGACAGGACCCGGATGTAATCATTAAAATTAATACAACCGGCAATCGTAATTACTTTCACTTGAATGAACTACAAATTATTTATGTATTGTTCTTTTTATTTTTTTTAATTACAACAGTTTAAAATTAGATTTCAAATTATTCACCATCTGCTCTAATTGCAGTTCTATTATATATTAATTTCAGAGAAAATACTTTTTATTATCTTTTCAATTTCCATAGTGTTGCTAGGTTTGCGCCCTCTACCACCGACGAATCTGTAATTTGTGTATAGAGTGCCACGTGTGACTAGATAATGGATTAGGTGTTCGTTTGTGTAGTGTAGACACAAAATGAAAAGTGCAAAGTGAAAAGATTCTGAAATGTACAAATATAGTATCAAAAATTGCACGAACTCTGAATTGCAATTGTACCTAGAAATTTAAATGTGCAAGAAATAAACAATACCAATACGTTTGAGATAGTTGGCTCCATGGTTCTGTTGTCTTTGGTGTCGTCATCGCATGACACTATGTACGATCATCTGTTGCATTTTACAGTACGATGATTTTCGGGCATGACTGATAATATACCAAGGATCAATTCTTTCACTATGCTATTAGGTAGTCATGCTCCGGGATAATCGTACGTCCATACCAATAACATGCACCGAATCTTCGCCCCTCAACAGAGTTCCGCTCCTACTTGTTTATTCAACTGCAAACATATGTATATAACTTGACCCATGTTGTAATAAACCTCACCCTACATTACCCATAGTCTATTGTAATAAAGTCTATGTATGCATTAGCCAATTATTCTGTTCAAAATAACACTTGTCCAACCCTGAACACTTCCGGTCATGATGTCACCCAAAGTTGCCACACTTATATAAAATTATTGTATTATTCCATACCGGCAGGCAACCCCAAGAGCTCATCCTTCGAATACATTAGGCACGATTACCAATAACAATTACAATTGCTACATTTCTCTAGGTCCTCACGGGGTTAATTAGCGACTCAAATTAACACCTGGGTACAATGTATTTGCTATTCATCTCAAAGCGGTACTACAGCATCGTTGACGTCATCGATTTTCACCAAATTAATTATCACAGTACCTTAATTGAGATGGATTATCAAAATAGTATCCAAACATTTATTTATAACAGTTATGATAAAACACACTGTAAAATAAAATCGATTTCTTTTAAACCCATATTTTAAAAACAAGAATAACAAACGCCACAGGTCACGATAAGTATTTTGTTCACCCCAGTCAACACTGAAATATGGTATAATTTCATTATAGGAACTATGAGTAAAGCATTTCAAAATGGCCGAGCTTCACTAAATTATAACAACTACTTTCTCGAAAAATCATTGTACGCTAGTGGCCCAACACTTGAAGACAATCCTTATATTGATTGGGAGTATAATATATTGAAAAATTATTACATTTTGTACATTTTCGTTTCCTCGGACAGCGTCGATATGGCCCCAATATAGGTGGCGACATATACAATGGGTGTAACATACGTTGTTAGCTGTGGGTCCATAGCTCTTCTTGTGTTGGTCATTATTCTTCTACCGTTTTGGTATGTTAGTCATTTCTCATTCTTGGTGTCCTAGCATTTTATTGACAGAGAAGAGCGCTGATTCCTCCCATAGATTTGCGGAACGCACACGTGTGACGTACGGCAAAGGGTATCACAAATAAAAGTGGATAAAAGA